GCTCATGGGGTTAGAAATGATAGTGGAGGGCTGGGATTGTGGCTTAGTGGTAGAATGCTCACTTAGTATGGGTGGGACTTGGGTTTAATTCTCAGCACCACATAAAAATAAAGGCATTGTGTTGTGTCCATCTACAAAAAAAAAAAAAGATTCTCTCTCTCTCTCTCTCTCTCTCTCTCTCTCTCTCTCTTTAAAAAAAACTTTATTAAAAAAATAAATGATGGTGGAATATGATGTATATTATTATTTAAAGTACATGTATAAAGAAGTGAATTTCTGTAAATATACTTTGTATAAAACCAGACAAATGAAAAATTGTGTTCTATATGTTTAATAAGAATTGTAATGAATTCTGATGTCATAATTAAAAAGGAATTAAAAATAAAAAATAAAAGATGGCATTATGTTCTAATTGGAAATAAATACCACTCCTTTTAAAAATTGAAAAAAAGGTCTATTGGTCAGTGATAAATTTTATAAAAGTATAAAATGTATCCTGAATATTTGGTAATACATAAACCCAGATTTAGGTATTTATAGTGTTTCAGCAAAATTACAAAAAATACTGTAGAGTTCATTACTTGTAACATATACTCATAATTATATGAGATGCATTTGGTACATATACATATATACTACCACTATATATAATTAATGATTTATTACTACATCTCACATTAACCACATTGATTTCAAATTAATTTGTCTTTTGAAAGCACCAATATATGACACTCTTTGAATATATACACTTGGTGTGTCTTCAAATTTGTCACTTTATGTATTATGTTCTTTTCTTTACTCTCCTTTTTATAGAATTTCTTTTTCCAAATTACTGAGATTAGTGAATTTTAGGCACTTCCGTTTAACAGTGCAGTCTGTAGATTTTATTTTTAACCTCAGCTAAAATACATCCCACTTTTTATAGGATTATTGTTATGTAAATGACTTCTAAAAACCTGCATATATAACACCCTAACCTGACCTTACTCAGGACTATTGATATCTGAGTGGAGGGGATCTCAAAGTGATCCAAGGAAAAGGCAGGATCGGGATGGGTCAGGATGTGAGATTGGTGTATGCTGAGTATGTAGTAGTGAGTATTCATGAAAAAGTATTGGTGGAGTAGATAGGGGAAGAGAAAAAAAGTGCTGTGAAGGAAAGGGAAAAAACGACAAGCTCAAGGGTTCAGATCTAAAAAGTCTAGTGGTGGATCAATAGTAGCATGAGGGTAAGGGATAATTTTTTGGAGGCAGAAATAAGGTAGAAGCAAAAGAAGAAGGTAACTCTGTCACAGTCCCCAAAAGAAAGAGTCAGATGAATGGATTATGTGTTTATTTCTTCCCACCTTGGAGTAGAATTGATAATTCACAGAGTATGTTTTAGTAGGTAGTATAAAGCCATTTCCAAGTAGCTTTACAAATTTGTGTGGCCACAATCAACATTTGAAAATTCCAGTCACATAAAATCTTTGTACTTTTTCATCTATTTTATTTATTTATTTATTTATTTATTTATTCATTCATTCATTCCATTTTTTTCATTCACTTTTGCTTTACTGTTATTTTGTATATACTCCTGGTGAGTATTCAATAATACATACATACACACACAATTGTATGTATGTATGTATGTATATATATATATATATATATATATATATATATATATATATTACTAACTTCTATAACATTATATTCTAAAACATTAAATCAGCCAGCCTCAGCAACTTAGTGAAGCTGTAAGAAAATCAACAAAACCTGTGGTGAGCCGTTCCAATAGACCGTGGCCGCCATTAGAAGATGGCGCCTGCTTCCACTGTGGCCTGTGATAAACAACTCCTTTTATGGAGAGTTGGCGCGCAATCCCTTACCACCCTATGAGAAAGATCCACGTGGCAGCTTGGGATTGGTATGCGGGAGGCTTTATTAGGCTATGCTTGGGCGCTCGGCGGGGGGGTCGCTAGAAGATGATACTTGAATCAAGGCCTGAATAAACTGCTGAAAGAAGAATCCTGTGTCGTGTTTTCCCTTGCCGGCGAGGGGTCGCTACAAAAACCCTTTTTCTTTATAGAATATTTTATTAAAGACTGAGAGTGTTTCTTAGCAAAAAAGCATATCTGATTTCAATTTGTAATATGAGAAAGAGAGAGATCTTGCAAAAATAAAAAAAAATAATCAGTGACACTCTTAGTGTCAAGGATGTAAATAATTTAAAAGTAATAGTGAGCTAGTTGGAAAATACATCTAGGTTATTAACTGATGCCTTGGAAAGTTAGTCTGGTCTCCAACATACAAAAGTGAGAGAGGAATTCTTTATTAAGGTGTGTATAAGAAAAAAGAGGAGTTTTGACACAGCTTTTAGTTGACCCAACTTTAGTGGGTGATTAGGGTTCTGCCAAGATGATAAATCCTTGAGTTATTTGAAATAATGTGATTTTATCTAGTCTTCATAAACAAAGGTTGAGGTCTAATATACATCAGGCTTGGCTAAGGAAAAACATTTCAATGAAAAGTAAATGTATGAATAAACACATAAAACAATATTTAACAAAAAGTTAACATTCAGAATATTTATGCAATTATGTAATCACGAGTAATGTAAGAACAATGACAACTAAAGAAAAAGTGAATTAATAAAAAATAAATAAATAAATAATGTAATGGATTAATTAATGAATGAATAACTAACAAGTACAAAGATGTAATGTGACTCGAATTGTCAAAGTCAGCTTGTAGCCATGAAAAAGTGTAAAGGTACATAGAAATGGTGTTTTACTACTTACCGAGACATACCCTATGAACTATAAATTCCACTACTAGGTGGGAAGAGTTGAACACAGAACTCATTCACCTGGCTCTTTCACTTGGGAACTGTGCAAAAAATTACCTTTTTCTTTCCCCTCAAATTTTATTGCTGCTTCCAAGAACACTACCCTCTATATTCATGCTATCATTGTAGACTTGTAGCATCTAAACCCCTCTACTGTTCAAGTTTTTCTTCTTTTTTTTTATTGCTCTTTTTCTCCCTACCCCCCATATCGTCCACCAATACTTATTTTGTATAGCAAAATCTACATACTCAGCAATCACCAGTCTTTTTTTTTCTTTTTCTTTTTTTCATTTTCTTTTTTTTATTGGTTGTTCAAAACATTACAAAGCTCATGATATATCATCTTTCATACATTTGACTCAATTGGGTTATGAACTCCCATTTTTACCCCAAATACAAATTGCAGAATCACACCGGTTACACACTCACATTTTTACATAATGGCATATTAGTGACTGTTGTATTCTGCTACCTTTCCTTTCCCCTACTATCCCCCCTCCCCTCCCCTGCCATCATCCCTCTCTACCTCATCTGCTGTTGTTCAATTCTCTCCCTTGTTTCCCCCCGCTTTCCCCTCACATCCTCTTCTACGTAATTTTGTGTAACATTGAGGGTCTCCTACCATTTCCATATGCTTTCCCTTCTCTCTCCCCCCACTCATCTTTGTTTAATGTTAATCTTTTCCTCATGCTCTTCCTCCCTGTTCTGTTCTTAGTTGCTCTCTTTATATCAAAGAAGACATTTGGCATTTGTTTTTTAAGCAGTCACCAGTCTTATATCTTACTATATCCATTTCCTACCTTGTGCATGACTACTTTGAGATCCCCTCCATCAAAACGTCAATAGTCCAAAATGATCAGAATTGGGGGTAAAATTTGCAGAATATTAAAGGTCAGTTACACAACAAGAAAGCTATAAAAAGTGGGCTTCATTTAAAGATGAAAATAAAAAGAAAATCTTAGACTTCACTAGTTAAAATTAAAGGATCTAATATTTATGAGTCTCAATAATTTGAATTATACCTGTGAGTCACTTTTTTGGGGGGAAGGGATATAAGAACATTGCTAATGAGTTTAAAGCTCAAACTGTTTTTTTTTTTTTTATGAGACAAAGAACAGAAAAGTTAAAAAATATTAAAGTAATTGTGATATCATTTTAATAAATAAAAATATATACATATTTATTCACAAATTGCTTTAACCTTATAAACAGTTATAAGTGTCAATGCACTTCTCTCTGGACTAGGTCCTATTATTGGAAGAAAACTTTGCCTTAAAATAACCCCATACAGAGGCATTTAATGCAATTAACAGGCCATCAAATAATAATAATAATAATAATAATAATAATAATAATAATAATAATAAGTGAGGTGTGGAGGATTTCAGGGTTTTAAAGCATACCTGTAATATAAGTTAGTTGAAAAGCCATCATAGGAGAATTTTATACACTGTCTGAAGAAATATATATGTAAATATTATTTATAAAAAGTGTTTATGGGTTCTGTAGTCAGGGTGCACAAGTCCAATACACAATCTTTTTTTTCTTCAATATTTTTTGTTGTAGATGGACCCAATACCATTAGTAGTTTGTTTGTTGGTTGGCTTTTTAATGTGATGCTGTGTGTTCAACCCAGTACCTCACGCACTCTACCAATGAACCATAACCCTAGTCCCTAAAGTCCTTTACTTAATTTATTTTTTTTGGCGGGAGTGTGTGCCTGTAGTGCAGGGGATTGAATCCATGGCTTAATACAAGCAAAAGAAGCGCTCTACTGACTAAGCTATATCCTCAGCCCTGATCTGGAGTCTTTTTAAAAACAGAAACAAAAGCGAGAGGGAATTTCTGCAGACACAGCACCTTTGCTTGTATGTGGTGGTGAGGATCAAACCCTGGCCGCACGCATGCCAGGCGAGCGCGCCACCCCTTGAGCCACATCCCCAGCCCCTGATCTGTAGTCTTTTAACAGTGACAATGGAGCAGCCTGTCATTCAGACTTTGATTCTGTGCCCGCTTGGCTCAGGTTGGAGGCAGGCCCTGAAGCCTTGACCAATCAGTCTCTTAGGTGAGAACTGTCCAACCCTCAAGCAGCCAGTGATGAGGGGGAGGGCTTCCACAATCTTCTGTTTCCTTGGTGTCTGGAGCCCACCATTTTTTCAATCTTTTTGTAGGCTTCTGTCCTGGATCCAGAGCCCAGGTGTCTGTGCTATGCAGAAGCTGAAAACAAACCACAGGGAGAACGCTGAGAACCCTGAAAGCCAGGAAATGGTAAGTGTGCCTTGTTATATTGAGACTGCGTAGGAAGGTGGCTTAAGGCTGACAGGAGTGACAATGGTGGAAACTGGCAGTCATGGCTAGGGACTCCTCATGGTCCTCTCCAGAATCTTGTGGCCAGAGGGTCTCTGTGGGCCAGCTTAGCCTTCACCTGCCTCTGACTAGTCTAGTGAGGCTTAGATCAGCAGTTGAAAACCTGGGCATTTTGTTCCATAATTGTAAGGTGTTTTCAGCTTCTTTCCTTTGTGGGCTTCCATGTCCCATGAGTCCAGCATGTCTCCAGATTGCATAGTGAAGACTGAGATAATTACCAGGAGAGAACCCCAAATCCATTTATTGTATTCATGCATGAGAGAGGCTGCTGATTTTAGGGCTTGTTACTCACGAGGGTTTTGTTTGTTTGTTTGTTTATTTATTTATTTATTTATTTATTTATTTTGTGTGTGTGTGTGTGTGTTGTTTTCTTTTTGGTACCAGAAATTCAACCCAGAGGTGTTCATCCACTGATTCACATTCCCACCCTCTTTTTAGAAATATTTTTATTTAGAGATAAGTTCCCTTTGAATTTCTTAGGGCCTCACAAATTTGATGATGCTGGCTTTTAACTCATTCTCTTCATGAGTCCTGAGATTTTTAAATGTAGCAGAAGCAGTATCTCAAATTCAGAACCAAAATCTGAAATCCAGAACTTCAATTTAGCTCTCCATAGGTCTCAGAATAAACCCCTAGTTTTCTAGCTCTCTGTTCACATATCCAAAACTAGGGTTCTCTGTTCACAGAGAATAAGTATAATAATGACCATGTAATGGGGATAATGGGCCTCACTCAAACACACCTGGTGGCTAACTGAAAGATATGTTAATGAGCACCATTAAGGCCTATTTCAAATGTAAAAGACCTTGAAGCCCACTTGTGGGAACACCTTCTACAAACCTTTGTCCCAGGGGTGATTCCTGATAGAATTTTAAGAAAAAAGGATAGGTAACAGAAAGAATAAAAGTGAACACATATGGTAGTCAGGATGCCTTTTCCAAAGCCTATTCTAAATGCTTTATGCTCCGTGTTCTGCCCAAAACCATCAGTAAACTTCTAAGATGGCACACAAAAATGAATTTTTTTTTCTGGTATCATTCCTCATACCATATGGTGGTCGTTCTATTTCTTCTTGCTTAAATAGATTTTTTTCTTCAAAATTTATGAGACAAGCACCCAGATTCAATTGGCAAACTGAGAAATTTTGGTTCATCTCAAAACTCCGCTTTCAGCATTATTAATCATTATTTTCCAATGTTTTATTTCAAATGTATGCATCATTTATAATGTTTTTCGTCAAGAACTGGAGAGCATTTTTAAAAGATTTTAATTTATCATTCTGAGATTTTCACATGAGAAGAAAGCAGAATAAAATTAGGTGACATTAAAAAGAATGAATCTCTCCTAAATGAGGTTTATGTGTCCCAATTAAGGATTTTTAAAAACTGTAATGGGTCATCAATTGAGGGTTTATTTATTTATTAATTAATTTGTTTATTTACTTATTTATGGTCAGACCATTTCATTAAAATAACCCACAGAAGGGGCTGGGGTTGTGGCTCAGTGATAGAGCACTCACCTAGCACATGCAAGGACCTGGGTTCAATCCTCAGCACCACATAAAAATAAGTAAATAATAAATAAATAAATAAATAAATAACCCACAGAAACATTCCAAACATTTCAGGAAACTCTTTTATTCTGGTGTGGCAGGAAAAAATAAAAGTGGGACTAACTTGAATTTAAATTACATTCAAGTTCAATCTCTCTCTCTCTCTCTCTCTCTCTCTCTCTCCCTCCCTCCCTGTACTGGGGATTGACCCCAGGGCCTCATGCTTAGAAGGCAAGCACTCTACAAGCTGAGCTATTTACTCAGCCCCATTTTTTTGGGGGGGGGGAGAGACCAGGGATTGAAGTCAGGGGCACTCTACCACTGGGCCACATCCCTACCCCTATTTTGTATTTTACTTAGAGACAGGGTTTCACTGTTTTGCTTAGTGCCTCACCATTGATGAGACTGAATTTGAATTCATGATCCTTATGTCTCAGTCTTGTAAACAGCTGATATTACAGGTATGCACCACCATGCCTGGCCAATTTCAATCTTAAGGGCTAAAGTACATAGCAAATTAGATCAAAGTCCATGTCAATATCTTGGTACTATATATAAAAGTTGTTGATAGACCTAATATTTTATTTACTTATATGTGGAGCTGAGAATTGATTCCAGTGTCTCACATGTGCCAGACAAGTGAGCTCCACTGAGCCCCAGCCCCAGCCCCATGGTACATTTTTTATGGGGGATATTGGAGATTGAACTCACGAACATTTGACTACTAAGACAAATCCCCAGGATATTTTTTTTCTTTATTTAGAGACAGGATCTCACTAAGTTTCTTAGCACCTCACTTCTGCTAAGGCTGGCTTTGAACTTTTGATAATTCTTCCTCAGCCTCTTCAGCAACTGGGATTACAGGCTTGCACCAACACACCCAGCCCCTGGTACATTTTTAATACCTGTTTTACATAGATTTTAACCAGTAGCCTTAACTTTTTTTCTAATATATATTTGATTTGAATCCATAACCCAGAAATCAGTGAAACAGAATCGATTTTTTATCTCCAACACTGCTTTTGGTTATGACAGTGCCTGAGTTAAGATTCCCCATTAAAGAATTTACTGTGCTGTGTTCTCATTCTGACCTCCCATATGACCTAGTTCTGAGTTTTAGAATATCTGAAACAAGGTTCCCAGAGATTCCAAATTTTTTGGAGTATTTAGAAAACACCACTATCTGAGTCTTGCCTTCTAGGGACCAGTTTGAATTTTAAGTCCATCTGAAGGGATGGACTAATTGGATGCTTTGCAGCTGGAAGGCATTTTCTGATATACTTTCCATCTAAAAGGTATTTCATTTGTTTTCTTTTATTAGATACTGTGAATAAAGATATAATAAAAATAGACGTGTGGCAATGTATTTAGCAAAAGGATTCCAATTTTTTTACATATATACCCGGAGTTATTATTACTGGATTGTATGGCATTTTTTTTTTACCAATAATTATTATTTATATCTTTTTATTTATTTAAATAATGGAGATTAACCCCAGGGAACTTTACCAGTGTGCTACATACCCAGTCTCCAACACTTTTATTTATTTATGTATTTTTGTGAGATGGTTTTACTGAGATTCTTAGGACCTTGCCAAGTTCTTGAGGCTGGTCTTTAACTTGAGAATAAACCCCTAGTTTTCTACCTCTTATCCTCCTAAGCCACTGGGAGTATAGGCATGTACAAACTTGCACTGCTACCCCAAATTTTTACTAGTGGATTATGTGGCATTTTTATTTTGCCTTTTAAAAACCTTAACCCTTTTATAAAATATATTTAGTAAATTTATTTAAAATATATTTATTAAATTTATTTAAATATGTCAACAACATTTTTACATATTTGTGTACCCTGGAATCCCTATTAATTATGAGATATTTGCTTGGTTTTGTATGGTTTGGTGCTGAGTATTGAACCCAGGGGTGCATACCACTGAGATACATCCACATTCTTTTTTATGTTATATTTTGAGACAGGCTCTCCTTAAGTTGATTGTAGCCTTGTTATGTTAATGAGGCTGTCTTTGAACTAACAATTCTCCTGTGTCATTTTCCATAGCTTCTAGAATTTCAGCATATGCCACCATACATGACAATTTTAGATTTTTATAATAGCCATTCCAACAGCACTGCATAGGCTGCAGAAAATCTATTTGATTAATGCATTAAATCCCTGAGGCAGTGTAGGAGTGTTGAGTAAAGATTAGCAAGGATTGTGGAATGTAATAGACATTATTATCTAAAGTACATATATGGGGCTGAGGATGTGACTCAAGTGGTAGTGTGCTCGCCTGGCATGCGTGCGGCTGGGATTTGATCCTGAGCACCATATACAAACAAAGATGTTGTGTCCGCCGAACACTAAAAAAAAATATATATATATATTAAAATTCTCTCTCTCTCTCTCTCTCTCTCTCTGTCTCTCTCTGTCTCTCTCTCTCTCTCTCTCTCTCTAAAAAAAAATAAAGTACATATATGAAGCAGGAATTGATGTGAACATACTTTATATACAAACAGAGGTATGAAAAATTGTTCTATATGTGTAATAAGAATTGCGTTGCATTCCGCTGTCATGTATTTAAAAAATAAAACAAAAAAAAAGTTTATATGTATTGCTGAGAATCAAACTCAGTGCTTTGCACATGCTAGTAAAGTAGTCTACCACTGAGACACAACTCCAGCCCATGTACCCAGCTTTTTATACTCTTTGTAGTAATCAGAAACAACTTTAAAAATTAAAATTGCATTTATATCACTTTTCCTAGCACAGTAATGTATTACTAACTAAACTTATTCTTAGTATTTTTAAAAAATAACCTAATGGATGACTGTTATTTTTTCCAGAGATTATTTTATCACTTCTTTTAGGGCTTGGTGAAGGGCCTTTTTTTTTTTTTTTTTTTTTCCAGAATATAGTTGTCTTCTATTATCAAATGGGTCCATGCTAAGTGTGTTGAAAATAGTGATTCTAAAAGTTCACACAATCCACACATTTCCAAGACTATAGGGGAAAGGGAAAGACAATATTCACAACCAAGAAACCATTTCCCATGGAAGCATAGTATCAGTGTCCAACCTGGAGTGTAATCCAGATCTTTCAGTGGTAAGGTTGTTAAGGAATCACAACCATAAGTTTTTGGGATCCTCTAAAGTACACTGAATGGCTAAAAATGACTTACTCTTCTTCAAAATAAAATGTCTGCTACCTACTTAAAAAATAAAGCACTATGAATGAGAAAGGTGAATGAGACTTTTGTTCTGTGGTGGTACTGAGGTTGACCTTTTATTATAGTTTATAAATAGTCAAATAAGAAGGGTCTTACAGTTGTCTCATCTTTTCCAACACATG